TAAACATGCTCAGAATAGTTTTCTGAGAATAACATTAATTTGTGTTATTTTATTTTTATAAATATGTAAACAAAATTATTCTCTGTACAGACGCTCCCCAGCTTACGAACGAGATACGTTCCGAAGGATCGTTCGTTAGGTGAATTCGTTCGTAAGTTGCTTCAGTGCTATATTTTGTATGGAATGTATGTTTAAGGCTTATATAAGTATGTTTAAGGTTTATATAAGTATAATAAAATGAAGTTTAACTTACTTTTGGAAGATGTACTCGAAGGCTTAATTACGGACGATTGCATAGTTTTTTTCTTTTTCTCATCATAAATGATGCAGTATGGCATCATTCATTTGATTTGCAACCTTTGTGCAACGTTCAATATATGGGTCTTGCTGCTCGAAGAGTGCGATGGCTTTATCTATGAGCGAAAACCCCTTGGCCAAGAGTTCCGTCTCGAATTTCTTCATGGGGACAGGCGTTTCCTCCTCCTCCTCCTCCTCTCACAGCGCCTCACGTCGGTATTAGCGGCGGAAAGAAGCACTACAGTACTCAGAAAAAGGCGCGCAGTACAAAATCTAACTTACAGCATCTCTGTCCGAGAACATTTTTCGACATACCTGTACCCGCAAAAATGTTCGTATGTACCGTTGTTCGTAACGCGAATGTTCATAGATCGTGGAGCGTCTGTACTGGCATTCAGATCTGATGTTCCATTTCAAAATAAAAGGCCTTTGAAATGTGAAATTTTGACCTTCCTGCCTGATTTAAAAAATGTTAAAAATGAATTTTAGTTATACTTCAACCAGACCAGGTCCAGGACATACCAGGGCACGCCACGTATCCAACTAGTTTTTTTTTCTCGATTCAGATCTAATGTTGCATTTCAAAACAAAAGGCTTCTGAAAAATGCAATTTTTACCTTTTCGCCTAATTTTAAAAAACAATTAATAATGAATTTTTGTTATCCCGGAACCAGACCAGGTCTGGGGAACACGAGGCCACCTCAGGTATCCAATAATACTTTCATTATTATAATCTCCTTCGGTTGATGGAAAACAAAAACTGGATTTTTATGGATTTTTAAAAATCAGGTGAGAAGGTCAAAATTGCTCGTTTCAGAGGTCTTTCATTTATCTGAATGCCAGTACTGTGGTTGGATACCTGGTGTGGCCCATTGTACCCTAGGCCTGGTCTGGTTGAGAAATAACTATAATTCATTTTTCAAATTATTTTTTGAAATCAGGTGAGGTCAAAATGTCATATTTCATAAGCCTTTTATTTTTTATTCTATTTATTACAGTACTATGATTGGATACGTGGGGTGGCCTTGTATGCCCTTGACCTGGTGTGGTTGCGGGATGACTAAAATTAATTTTTGAATGTTTTTTTAAATATCAGGCGAAATTTTAGTCATTTATGTAGTTACCATTGTATATATATGATAGCTGCTCCATGTACAGAACTTTGTATGCAGCGATGGCTGTTTGAAAGTGCTCTATAAATACAGTTGAGTTGAGACCATTGACTTTATGTTCTATCGCAAATTTAACGCTTCTTGGTGCTATTTTGAGAGTTTTCATTGTCCCTGGGTGAACTCATCATTGCATGACAGCCCAAAAATTATTAAAAAAAAAAAAAAAAAAAAATCCCAACCGTTGACGTACATGCATTAGTTGGGTCGCTTCTATTTTGAAGGTGGCCTACGCAGCTCACTGGTGGGACATTACCGTAATGCAGAGTATTAACAATCGCTGTGGCGGCTGGCTTGACTTGGAGGCTGGCCTGACCGCAGTCCACTTGTGACGTTGCTAGCTATTCAAATACTGGTTCACTTGTTCACAAAAGTACGCCAATCCCTGCTCTTCATTATAAAACTTGCTCATGCGGTGTAAAAAAAAAAAAAAAATCAGAATAACTGAGCGGTACTTCATTTCCAACCTTTATTGAAACAGTAAGCAGTATAAAATGCCACCTGCACTAACAGGTTTGAGGCACAAAAACACAGTGCTGTTTGAATAAAGGCATAATACAACCATAAGCATATGTTGAGTCGGCTCATTTAGTTTCTGCCGAAGTGAGAATTGCATAGAGTACAATTGTGTCCCAAAACATTCCTCTTGCAGTCAACTATGATGCTAAGCAGGTCACCAACATCACATACAATGGGTTTGCTTGAAAACGTTTTCTGTTGATAAAAATCAGATCATCTCAATTCAGGATGATCAATTCTACCCTGAATTTTTCCTAAATGGAAGATTTGAAAATAATTTTAAAAAACACAGTTTAACCAGGACCTAATGGTTTGTAAACATCGAGGAACAAAAAGGAAACGTTGAAATGAGATGTTGCTTATTCCAATCAATTCCCTCGCATTTATAATTGCCCGATACTATACAAATTCCTGCAAAAGGTGTAAAAACTGCAGACATTGAAAATAAGCTAAAACATGTCTAAAATCTGTTTTTCCTGTGGAGAATTCTTTTTCACATGGCTGTGGAATGTATTTGTTGCCCCAAAAAAAAAAAAAAAAAAAAAAAAAAAAGACGAGGTAGTGCATTTTGACTCGGTAAGGGAGCCCTCCCCCTTCAAAATGCTTGTCAGCAATTTTTCCACATAATAGTTTTGATCGCCATCGCATTTCATAAACAAGAATGTGATATCAGCAAATCTTTTACCAGAATCAAATACATCAACGTAACTTGAACATCAAGGCCACTTGAACAATTCAATACTATTAACAGAAAAAAATAAAAGGGGAGTGTGCCAGCTTCACCTCACTTGTTTTTCCTGATTTCCAATCATACGCTGAAAACAAAATCAAGACCATTCATTTTCCTTCAATGAATGATTCAACAAAGGCCATATAGTTTGACTATCATCAACCCAAACCTTTGCGTTCTAGACTTCGAAGGCACTATTAGGTGTGTGCATAAAAATGTCGGTGGGAATTTCTGTGGCGTTCAACATCTTGGTTGAAAAGCTAGTTGCCCATGCACGTCAGAACAATGAAACCGCCACATTTAGAAACCTGTTAAGCTTTCTGCAAGTCTCCCTGTTTAAGAATGTGCATGTAACACTATTGTACACTCATTTCTGTTGATAAAACTTAGCCTCCCTTTAGTTTTGTCATTTAATGACTACAACAGTAAAGAGGAAAGTAATTATGTGACTTGCAATATCCGTTTTCCAAATGACTACACTTCTGAGCTGTAATAAATTAGCAGGGCTGGAATAACAATGAAGACAATGTAACAAGTTTGTTCCAGCACTAAATGCTCACCAAGATTTTGGAAGTTATTTAAAACAGAAGGAAGAACAGAAAGGGAGGGACCTTGCTTTCTGCCTCCAATACAAAAAAGGGGTCAATTCCCTGGGCCACTAAAAACAGTTGGCACACATCTTAAACAGTGAAGACACACATATCTTGTACAAATATGACACACACACATATAAACACACACACAAAGTACAAGCTCAACCAGGAGAAAAACTGAATAAAAATGATGTCCTTCATTACAGTTGGGGCAAAGTAAAAACTTGCATGATGTGTGTTTGTGTGAGTGTGTGCGGGAGAGACGGCAGGGAAGCCAGCATCTAACAGGTTGTACAAAAACAGACAAGCAGCAAAATTACATGGGGGCTTGCATGACATTTCAGGTGTGTGTGTGTGTGTGTGTGTGTGTGCTCAAAAATGATGGAGCCAGAAAAGCAGTGTTACACTAGCATTAGAATCAAAGTGAATTGGACTGAAATAAGATGGGGGAGATGGCAGTTTGAGTCAGACGCTTGCCATCTTTGTACCATGAATTTTAGGTGAATCTCTTTTGACAGGTGTTATCTGATGGTTTTCAAGGTACCCACAAAAAGCAGGAGATGTAAGATTTCTTATTTTATTCGAAAAATCAAGGCAAAACAAATATTCTGAATCATGATTAGCTACTGAGCTTAAGAACAAGTTTCATGTCAACAAATGTAAGCATTAACCCGCAGACACAAATGCTGTCCTCCTTTATCTTCACCGTCATCACATACTGCAGTGAAGTGGCAGCTCCAAGATACGCATCTGCAGAGACACAGAAGTACACTTTTGTTTGGATTGAAATACGCACAAACATGTCCCCATACAAAAGATAATCAAAGTTAAGCACATTTTGATGCCCATTTCACTCACATGTAAAACATATTGCACTGCAATTGTGCTTTAATGATATATATAAAAATAAAAAAATAAAAATAATGCTACAACTGAAGCGTTTATTGTGTTTGTGTGCATGCACGTTTCAACTGCATCACCGTATGCTTTGTTTTGTGCCAATTTGTTCATGCACGACAGCAGTGAGGACGAGCAGCTCAGGCACTATTTTGGCTGCTTTGAGTAGTTATGCCTCATGTGTAAGACACACACACACACGCACGCGCGCGCGCGCACGCACGCACACACACACACGCGCGCGCACACACACACACACACACACACACACACACACACACACACACACACACACACGAGGCTTTTGAAAAACGTTTCAGTTCGACTGTTCCAGATCAGTTCGCATTTCTCGTCCATTCACATTGGCATAGGTGCAACTCTTTGTCTCATTTTTTGGTGAGGCGTAGCACATCGATAATCAGGGCCAAATACCGGTAATGTGAACCATCCTTCAATGAGCAGTTGTGGTGCCTTTCTTGTATGACTTCATTGTTTTTGTTCATGCACTTTTGGTTCTACCAACATTCACTACACCTGCCAGGAACAAAGAGACTGGCAACCAGCCCTGGATACTTCTTTCCAGTACAAGAATTGACAGCGAGACCTGCCAGTGTACAAGTCTGTACAGCTCCAATGCATAGCGCATTGAGAGATTGCAGTTCACTTGAAATCGCTGTACCGTATATTCATAGATACACGTCAGTCTATGTGCATCATGCAAAGCTTATTCTAATTAAGTATTTTTAGATTAGAATATACTTAGAATTTTATGGATGCAACACATTCCAAAATAGTTGGCACATGGTGGCAAAAAAAAGACTGAGAAATGCTCATCAAACATCCCACAGGTGAACAGGCAACAGGTGGGTGCCATGAGTGGGTGGAATTGCTCAGTCATTTACAAGCTAAGATGGGGCGAGTTTCACCTCTTTGTGAACAACTGCGTGATAAAAGAGTCGAAAAGTTAAAGGATAATGTTCCTCAATGTAAAATTGCCAAGGAATTCAGGGATTTCATCAGCTATGGTCCATGATATCATCAAAAGGTTCAGACAATCTGGAGAAATCACTGCATGTGAGCTGCAAGGCCGAAAACCAACATGGAATGCCCGAATGCAGGTAGCACTGCGTCAAAAAGAGACAATGCGTAAAGGATATCATCACTACATGGGCTCGGGAACACTTCATTTTAAAATTCTACGATGAAAAGCAAAAGGGGTTGATCAACACCACCCGGAAACATCTCTGGCTTCTCTGGGCTCCGAGGTCATCTCAGATGGACTGATCAAAAGTGGAAATGTGTTCTGTGGTCTGATGAGTCAACATTTCAAACTGTCTTGGGAGATTGTGGATGTCGTGTCCTCCGGCCCAAAGGGGAAAAGAACCATCCCCCGGCTGTTATGGATGCAAAGTTCAAAAAGAAGCATCTGGGATAGTGCATATGGCATGGGTCACTTGCACATCTGTGAATGCACTATTAATGCTGACAGGTACATAAAGGTTGCTGCTGCGGCTGCCAAGCAATCTAGCTTGGCGGCGCCTATGTGTGTGTAAAGAACACATAGGAAAGAAAGAAAGAGCACATACTACCGATGCAGCTACCTTCTTGACCGATATTTGCAATATAATTAAATGCATCCTCTCATCACCTAGGCCCGTTTGGTCTAGCAGGCACAATGTCGATGATTGTCTCTGTCACTTTTTCGGTTGTTAGGCAAAGTAAACATGGCGACCAGAATTGGCGAGGGAATGCAGAGGAAACTTCACCCTGTGGTGTCCTAGCCAATACCGGCTGAGTAAAAAGGCAAGCGTTCACAGTTACGTCTGCGTGGTCGCTGCCCACGCAAGGATAGAGAAACATTTATGCTATGGAGACACCTCATGCAAAACGAACTTTGCATCATGTTTAGACCCGTTAGCTATGCAGCCGCGGCTTGTATGTACCGTAGTGGAGGGTTCGCAAAATAGTGTGCAACAAGCATTGCCCACAGCGAGTTGATGCTGCCGCACAATTTGGGCATTTCTGTCAATGTGTCCTGAAACAAGAAATAGTTAATTGCTGGTCGTAGGTAATAAACGGTGCTGAACACAACAATGTCCATGGTACTACTCTGTATCTTTTTAGATCTTTTTTAAGGCTCACGCTCAACTGTTCCCTCTTGGATACTAATACCCAGTTGTCAACGTGTCATATTGATTCGGACCTCACGATGTTGCATGCAAAGTGTGGATCATGCTCTCACAGCGACTCAGTCTGGTGCAAACTGTCATACAGCAATGCTCCTTGGAGCCACTCATTCCTCCTTTTTGTGGTGGTTTCAAGCGCTTGTGCTTTTATGTTTGTCCAGTCTTCTACTATTGTGAACGGAGCAGGCAGTTCACTACTGTAGTTTGCTGATTAAGGAGCTGGTACAGAGCTCATACACAATCATTCTACATACTAGCTTTTGTTCTCATTGACGCGTGAGCCGAGTGATGTACAGCTAATACCTGTCTTTCCTACATCTCTTACTTACGTACTCCTTTTACATGGTGCCCCTCACGTTCAATTGGAGACGCTGCAGTTGTGTAAACCACGGCATTCAGAACAATAAGACAAACTTGTGTTCTTCAAACTCAACCTCCAAAACGTTCAATGATCGGCACTTCACCTTTGGGGGCGTTTATGCAGCAGGACACAAACTCGCAGCATATTAGCACACCAAGTCCACTTGTGCGGCCAAAAACCCAAACATGACTGTTTTCGAGGGGCCCAGTCAAAGTGTGGAACAAAATCCAATTGAGATGCTACGGTATGACCTGAGATGGGCAGTTCATGCTCGACAACTGCCCAATATGACTGAGTTAATACAATTCTGTGAAGAATAGAGGACCATTGAAGCGATAGGACTCTTTACCTGAGAAATGTTCAGGAGCAAAGTCAGGATGGACACATAACCTGGTCCATTCTTGTCTGAAGCTCGAAGGCATCTGGTCGGTCCTGAGGGTTGACGGCAAGCATGTCCAGCAGCAGCTTCCTCACTCCGTCAGACATGCCTGACCTACGTTTCTGGGGGATATTCAGTACCATCTTTGGATTTTCTAGCAGCGCCTCACCCACTGGTACAATGTCTGCTCCTTGTCTCACATATGTTCCAAGGAGCTCTCGCTTGGATTCAGCATCAATAAAAGTAATTCTCTCCACCATGGCCCAAATGATGATGCCGAGAGCAAATATGTCAGCCTTGGCTGTATAGTGACCCTCCCAGACTTCGGGAGCCATGTAGAAGTCTGAGCCACATGCTGATGACAACCAAAATTTGTTTACGTTGACATTTTTGTTTTTGTCCTCAACTTCTTTGCCCTCGATGGCATTTCCTAAACCTGCGCAAACTTTGCTCAGGCCAAAATCTGCAACCTTGAGGACAGGAGTCCCTGATTTCTCAGAGATGAGGATATTGTCCGGTTTGAGGTCTCTATGTACAACCTTGTTTTCATGTAAGAAAGCCACAGCACTGGTAAGCTGGAGCATAAAGCTGTTGTTGGTTTGCGAGTCAGGCCGCCGAGACAGGATGAACTGGTTGAGGTCACCTCCTTCGCAGAACTCCATGACAAACCACAAGTAACATGGCTCCTCTGGAGGCGTCAGCACTCGCTCACCTGTAACACACAGAGGACATTCATTCAGGAGCAGTGATTTTATTGTAATGGAAATGTACTTCATGTGATCAGATTTGAAACAGCACATCAACCGGTGTCAGCGTTGCATTCTGATCATGAGAATCCTCGTTTTGGAGTAAGTGCCGAGAGAGCCACCTTGTTAATCATAAGACTGTGCATGTTCCACCCTTGCAAGCTACTGTATAAAATCGTTGCTCTTCCATTGATGGTGTCATAAAAAGCAGGGCTCGAGAGTGTGCCTAATATGCTTGCAAATGCTCCCATTTTTTTTAATGTATGCTGGCAAAATTTTCATCCAGTCGCACAGCCGGAGGGCGTGTTTTAATGCTCCTACCGGGACATACTCTGTGTCCGTCTGTCAGACTGCACACAGGAGGCGAAAAGCAAGTTAAATCCTTCCAGGTTACAGAATCCATCCATCCATTTTCTGTTCCATTCATCCTCAGAAGGGTTGCGGGGTGTGCTGGAACCTATTCCAGCTGTCTTTGGGCAGGAGACAGGCGGGGTACACCCTGAACCAGTTGCCAGCCAATCGCAGGGCACACATAGATGTTCCATTTACCTGTTACACATGATTTTGGAATGTGGGAGGAAACCGGAGTACCCGGAGAAAACCCACGCAGGCACGGGGAGAACATGCAAACTCCACACAGGAAGGCCGGAATCGAACCTGCCTGACCTACGTTTCTGGGGGATATTCAGTACCATCTTTGGATTTTCTAGCAGCGCCTCACCCACTGGTACAATGTCTGCTCCTTGTCTCACATATGTTCCAAGGAGCTCTCGCTTGGATTCAGCATCAATAAAAGTAATTCTCTCCACCATGGCCCAAATGATGATGCCGAGAGCAAATATGTCAGCCTTGGCTGTATAGTGACCCTCCCAGACTTCGGGAGCCATGTAGAAGTCTGAGCCACATGCTGATGACAACCAAAATTTGTTTACGTTGACATTTTTGTTTTTGTCCTCAACTTCTTTGCCCTCGATGGCATTTCCTAAACCTGCGCAAACTTTGCTCAGGCCAAAATCTGCAACCTTGAGGACAGGAGTCCCTGATTTCTCAGAGATGAGGATATTGTCCGGTTTGAGGTCTCTATGTACAACCTTGTTTTCATGTAAGAAAGCCACAGCACTGGTAAGCTGGAGCATAAAGCTGTTGTTGGTTTGCGAGTCAGGCCGCCGAGACAGGATGAACTGGTTGAGGTCACCTCCTTCGCAGAACTCCATGACAAACCACAAGTAACATGGCTCCTCTGGAGGCGTCAGCACTCGCTCACCTGTAACACACAGAGGACATTCATTCAGGAGCAGTGATTTTATTGTAATGGAAATGTACTTCATGTGATCAGATTTGAAACAGCACATCAACCGGTGTCAGCGTTGCATTCTGATCATGAGAATCCTCGTTTTGGAGTAAGTGCCGAGAGAGCCACCTTGTTAATCATAAGACTGTGCATGTTCCACCCTTGCAAGCTACTGTATAAAATCGTTGCTCTTCCATTGATGGTGTCATAAAAAGCAGGGCTCGAGAGTGTGCCTAATATGCTTGCAAATGCTCCCATTTTTTTTAATGTATGCTGGCAAAATTTTCATCCAGTCGCACAGCCGGAGGGCGTGTTTTAATGCTCCTACCGGGACATACTCTGTGTCCGTCTGTCAGACTGCACACAGGAGGCGAAAAGCAAGTTAAATCCTTCCAGGTTACAGAATCCATCCATCCATTTTCTGTTCCATTCATCCTCAGAAGGGTTGCGGGGTGTGCTGGAACCTATTCCAGCTGTCTTTGGGCAGGAGACAGGCGGGGTACACCCTGAACCAGTTGCCAGCCAATCGCAGGGCACACATAGATGTTCCATTTACCTGTTACACATGATTTTGGAATGTGGGAGGAAACCGGAGTACCCGGAGAAAACCCACGCAGGCACGGGGAGAACATGCAAACTCCACACAGGAAGGCCGGAATCGAACCCTGCACCTCTGCACTGTGAGGCTGACGCGCTAACCTGTCGAATACCGGGCCGCCCCAGTCTAAATCAAGTAAATGAAAAGCCAAGGTCTGGATGTGTATTTTTCCACATTAACAGCCATCTAATTTAACTAGCAATAATTGCTTGATAAAAGGACGGCTTTCCATTCAGCTTTCCATTCAGGTACTGCATTTTGGCAACGGAGACTGTGCGCTTGTCTCTTTTCAGGGGTGCATGTGGAATTGTAGTGTTTACTCTACTATTGTAAAACACAACATGGATATCATGACAGGAACTTGACATTACAAATTGACACCTTTCGCATTCAATGAGATCCGAGGTGCATTCAAATACAGTCGGACATTTCACACACAAACAGAAAAAAAGCCCATCCGGTAACCGTTAAAAGCTACAAATATCTTAACGTGGGCTTTCTATCAATCTATTAAAGCTGACATATATATCGAGAGAAAAGGTGGGGGAGAAACTACTTGGCTATTTTACTTCACTACAATAAATGGTGCATTTAGTCACTTAAGTTATAATACCGAATCAAACCACAAACATTACATATTCAATGAAATTTTATACTATCAAAAGTCTGAAATAATGAGTATTTTGGTGTCTTAAGACGGTTAAATTCTGCATATAAATAAAAAAATATTAGTTGTATGTAAAAAATGTTGAATGTTTTTCATTTTCAAATGTTCTAAAGTGTTTAGAAATGTTCAAAATGTTTTATTGTTGTTACAGTGAAACTCCTCTAGAACGAAACCTGCATGGGCGAAAATACCCCCTTATGTGAAAAAATCTTCATGCATTAACACAATTCCCATTCTCCTGCCCCCCATACGACGAAAAACCCCCTGTTGCGTTATACGAAATCATTTTGTCTGCTCCAGCCTCGCGAAGACATTCACTACAACGAAGTCTTATCCAACAGCGACCTCTACTGCTTCGTTTGAAAAAAGGCAACAGCAACCACCACACTGGTTTACATAGTGAACGATGTTTATTTCGGTCACAGCTGCGAGTTTCCTGGGCTCAACATACTCATAGCTGCTCTGCTATTGGCTTACCGAGCATCATCCTGGCCTCCGATTGGCCAAGAGGCCACATAGACCTCACTGTCTATGTGTGTAGATACTGAAGCTAGATCCGTAGCATCCGATTAGCTGCTCAGAGTAAATTGCT